AGTCGAGCTTCAAAGCCCGGCAAAGCTCCCTGGCAACGAGCTACTCTGCACCCAAAATGGTACCAAAATCAGGTACGTTTTCTTCCTTCTGCGAGAATAGTATTCCAACATCATTCTCCTGAGTACATTTTTGGGCTCCAAAACACCACACGGGAGAGATACTAACGATCTGCACGAACGCTTTCCACTGCACGAGAATGACACTTCAGTTGAGGGAGGCGGCGTTTTGCAGGGATGATATTTAGAATCAGCGTCCTTGCTCAGCGTGGCTTGTCGCGCAAATCACCATATCCAAAATCAGAGGGGCAATCACACTTGAACAGACAATTTCGACCGAACGATCAAAAGGCACCACATGCACTTGGCAACATTAGCACCCTGTGCCAGTATGGCCCTCTCAAGGCCGGATGTCAACTGACGGTCTTTGACGATCCCGGTAACCCGACGCTAATCCTGGAACACCAACCAACACTGTCTGCCGCTGGTGGCCCGGTGTCCGGGCACTCGGATCAACTGGGCTACGGGGCGGCAAACATGGGAAATGTTTCAATGGCATCTACTCATTCATTGTCGAAGCCGGACACCGGCAGCGCTCGCTGCGCCTGGCGCCGGCTGTGCACCGCTCCCAGGCCTCTGTTCGGCACTAGGGAGCCCCCGGCACACCGGTCAACCTCTATTCCAACGGCATGAACTGACTGACTCGAACTAACTCTGACTCGAACTGAGCTCGAACTCGAACTGACTCGAACTCGTAGGCGTAGTAGCGCAGGAAGCCGAGGAACAGCTGGCCCAGGCTATCCGTGTTGCGCGACCGCCACGTGCGCCACGCAGTCGTCCTTGGGGATAGAGCGGATCGGGCTGGCCCGGCCGGAACTTCGCCTTGCACATCCGCTGCAGGTTCGGCAGCACGGCCGGACGCACGCCGCCTGGTGGACGGAGCGAGAAACAGTGAGGCTGCCTGGCGGACGGATTGGGAAGTAAAGTCTGTGGAATGCCCAGCGATTTATCAGGGCCCGGTTCTCATTGGCTCGCGCCCCAGCGGGCTGGCCCTTGAGGTGGCGTCACAAATATGAGCCAATAAAGAACGCATGAAATTCGAAATATGGGCACAGACAAATCAGCTGATATAACCTGATGTAGACATACACCGCGCAGGAATGGCGCACTTGAATATCATTCCAATGAAGTTATTGGCAAGGTATGGCGGGCCCCGACATAACTTCGATCACACTATCCAAGTGGGATCGACAGTTTCAAATGATAAAGTGAGGCGATCAGAAAAAGTGGAAATATTTTGTAACGACAACTCTGTAGCTTAAAATGTAAAGTAGTTATAACGCTACACGTCGTAACGACCTCATGCGATGGATGAGATTGGTTTATATGTACTTCCCAGTGTTCAACTTGGATCGAAAAAAAAAATTGGTTGCAGCAGACTGCGTAGTGTGGTTTGCTTCAATTTCAGACATCTTAATACCTTATTAGGGTATGGCAGAAGCATTGAACAGATGGTGGGACAAGCAGCACGAAAATCCACAGGAGATAAAGACCTGCATATCCGCCAGACATACAAGACGTCAGCAGTGCACGGAACGCCCAATAGGCGTTATGCGTCAGCAGTAAACAACTCGCTTGTAAACAAAGCCCTAAGTTCACCTCTCGGCCGAGAAGGGAATAGGCTTGGGCCGTGACAATCATAAATGGGTTTACCCAAACAGGGCATGGGCTTCCATTTACCAATGAAGACGGGCCTCGGGAACCGTTCTTCCTTGGGCAAGTGGGAAGCCTAAGCCTTCCTTCAGGGTATGCCCTTCCTTTCCTATGACGTCCAGGCCCAGGCCAATTTCCTACCCGGACGAGAGGCGAAGTACTTGCATTTGTTTGCAACTAATTCAATGATTGTTAAGGCAGCAACACCTGGCAACGGTCTATATGCCGTTGACGGTCTTGCGTGTCAGGCAAATAGGCCACGTCTCGACCACATGTGGATAGTGTGATCACAATTATGCCTTTATCCACAGAATTTGCCAAGTAATGGTCAATGGAATAATGTTTGAGCACGCCAATTCCTGTGCAGCGTCCGTCTCCATGGGGTTGAATCAGCCGATTCTACTTGCGCCCACATTTTAAATGCGAGGTGTTCGTCACTAGTTTACATCTTGTGACGCCATATATTGCTTCCTCAATGGACGGAGTCTAGGTGGTAAGTCAATGAAAAATTGGGCCCGGGAGTCGGTGACGCTTGCCAGCGGTAGGGCGAGGCCACCTGGCGGCCAGATCAGGAAACACTTGGCCACCTGGCGGACGGGCAGGAAAACGCGACCACTTTTTTGCCTAGCGGACAAGATATGACAGGTGCCGCCACCTGGTGACCAGTTCGGGAAATGTTATATCATGGCGGACACATCGGGAAGCAGCGAAGACTGACGGACATATCCGAAAAGTCTTGCCCCTTAAAATATAGCCCCAGTAGCAATGCCTAGCCTAAAGATGAGCTTACAAGAAACATATCACCAAAACTGGCAACATTATGAAGACCATAATTCTGAAACCATGCCATGTATCACCGCAGACACACAAACAATGACCAGCATCGTGTGCTTATATATCACGCGTCGGAGCACCGCCAGCTCGCTTCTGATGTCACGTATCACGAGTCACACAAGAACAGGAGACCTGAAAGCTGCATACGACACCAACAAACGCGACGCGCGGGAGGACGTCGCCACAAAACTGACCTCGCCGACACCAGTCGGCTGGAGGGCACGCCGCCAGAGTCCGACCGGTCCGGCGCCACCTGCCGCGCTGGTACTCACACTGCAGGAAGTGTATGACCATGAGCACCAGAGAGTATGAGCTGAGGGTGGCGCGGCAGGCGTCGTTGATGTCATGCGATTGCGCCCACAGCTTGACTATGACGATCAGCGGACACACCCGCTCGTCCACTGCAACAGAGACCGGCCGAGGGCGCCGTCAGGCGACGGCCGGCCGGCCGACACGGACGGGCGTAGTCGCCGCACACTGCACGCCGCGCACGACACCAGCGGGCGCCGGCAGGTTCTGAGCAGCGGATTCCCAGCCCAGGACGGGCCGTGCTGACCCGGCCGCGCCGCGAAGCCAAGCGGCGCCTGCGGGTCCCGAAGCCCGTCCCGCCCGCCGCTCCGCCGGAGGCTCACCAGCGGCACAAGGCGCGGGTCGGCAGGTGCCACGGGGTCCCAAAGCCCCGCTCCGCCCGCCGTTCCGTCGGAGGCTCAAAGCGGCACCTGGCGCGGGCTGGCCGGCGCCAGCGGGTCCCGAAGCCCCTGTCCCACCCGTCGCTCCGCCAGAGGCTCACCGGCGGCACCAGGCGCGGGTCGGCTCTGGCGCACCGCCGCCAGCCGGAGGTGCGCCACTTCACCGCCCGAGTAGCACTGCAGCAGGTTGGGTGTTGCGGATGCCCACCAGGTTGTTGCAGTTGAGGGTCCACCTGGATGCCGGTGGAGACAGAGAGGAAGCGCAGGATCGGCACCTTGGCGCGGATCAGCTCCATCCGGTAGTCCGGGTCTGCGGGGCGGCACGCGTCACACCGCCCATCACGGCACGCGGCACGCTCAGCCGCGGCGCAGTGCCGCCTGGCGCGGCCGAGTGCGGTCAAATGTTAACATCTGACGGCATTATGTGCCAGCAGGCTTCAGAGCCCCCTTGCCCGGACCGACCGTGCGGTGTTCTACCTCGCCTAAAGAGACACTCTAGAGACTTAGTACCAACCTGCGCTTATTCCATTCCATGACATGGTTCACACAGAAAGCGGCAATGCCGACAGGCGTGTTATAAAACAGTAAGCTGCACAGAGAACTTCAGTCAAAAACGTGCGACTTAAGCAGCCTGCTTAGACATCAACCCTCGACGCGGAGGCCGCCACGCCTCAAGTTCAAGAGGCGGCACCAGCATTCACTCGCGACATACCAGCATGCACCGCACAGCAGCCGGCGCTGCACGGAGCCGACGCGCACGCGACGGCTCGCTCCGCTGACCTTTGGCCAGCAGCCCGCTCCACCTCCGTCAGGATGCGCGTGGCATCGTGCTGCTGGTCGATCCGCGACTCGGTCAGGAACAGGCAGATGTCGACATCGCTCTGTCGCACGCGAAGCCCGTGCACGACGAGCCGACAATGTGCAGTTCACAGCGCTGGTACAGGTCCCTGACGGCGGATGTGTCGCGTGACCCTGTGCTGCTCACAGCGCTGATAAAGGTCCTGATAGAACGGCATTCAAATGATCGCATGACCTTTTGCGACTCACTTCGCTCTCCTCCAGTGTTTGGATGCAAGAAATGCATGGGGAGCAATCTCGAAAAATGAAAATGCTCTACGACATGCGAATTAACTGCAGGACTGCTTCCCCCTCCCCCAAACAAGGGCCAGACATACCCACATATTGACGCATCGTTACCACGTGCACATACCCGTAGTGCCTCCCGTACTTTATCCCTGAGGACAAGCTTATTCTTGTACACAACTTCATCCTGGCGGCAAGATTCGAAAATCTTCTTGATCTGGTCGGACACCTAAGGCATAGCCAAGACGAGATCAGTATCACACGCCCATGGCTACTGATTCACCTCTGACTGTTAGGTACTAGAAGATCTCTCGATCACGACGCAGCGGTTGTCACGTGGACATCTGCACAGAATACATCAAAACACTTCATAGATATTTTCTCCTTTTCATATCCACACAGCAACGCCCACCAATTTCGACAACTGACCAAGGCTGCGGAACACTCTTTACCTTTACAGCTTCAGCTCTACCCATCTCCCGCGTGTCCGCAGCGGCCGTACCGTGTCGACGCCGACCGCGGCGCCGGGCGAGCCGAGCGCGCCGGCGCGTCGGCGCGCTTGTGGCGCTGGTCGCGCGCCGGGCTGACTGGCTCCGGGCAGCCGCGCTTGGTGCCCTGGCGGCGCGCGCCCGGCCGACGTCGGCGTCGTCGGCCGCGAGCCGTAGCCGGCCGTCCGACTCCGAAGTCGTCGTGTCGCTCCCAGCCGGCGGTCGACGGCGGCGGACGGCGGCGCGGCCTGCCGGGGCGGCGGGCACCGGTGAGAGGCAGCTCACTACGACCGGGCACGCCAGGCAGAGGCAGCCACGAGAGGGCGGTGGCGGCCAGCGCCAGCGAGAGGCCGCACACTGAGGCCGGGCACGCGAGAGAACAGCAGCCACGAGAGGGGCGGTGGCGGCCAGTGCCGGCGAGGGGTCGCACACTGAGGTCGGGCGCGCGAGGGAACAGCAGCCACGAGAGGGGCAGTGGCAGCCAGTGCCGGCGAGGGGTCGCACACTGAGGCCGGGCGCGCGAGGGAACAGCAGCCACGAGAGGGGCAGTGGCAGCCAGCAATAGTGAGAGCCTGCACACTGAGGCCAGGCACACCCAGCATCTCATGTCTCCTTAATATGCCATATCTTCTTAAATGTGTTTCATTGCTCACACACAATAGCAAATACAGGTGGCATGCTATGCAGCTGTTCCTCTTTGCAGTTATAAGCAGTCCTGTTATAAGGTAAGCAAAATTTCATGGCATAACTGTTCCACAATCACCATGAGGCAAAGGATGCATCTCACCGTAGAACATTTTGCCAGAGGTAGTTCATCATCTCCAATTCTCCATATGGCCTGGGGGCCAGCCGGTGGTATGGAGATCCAGGACGCATATATGGGATGGCAGGGGGTGGGGATGCAAGACCAATGCTCTGCAACAGGGACCAGACAAGCCATATCACTGTCACTTTACAAGTCAGTTATATAGCATAACCTCATTCATGCTGCTGGGAATCTCTTTCATGGCAGGTCTTGAGTCACTGACAGGTCCAAAATATTGAGTGTGGCATATGCCATACTTGGGAAGCTATCCATGCCATTAAAAAAAATAATAATACAGACTTCTGGAATCCTGAAACCTCCAGCCATCCTGGTCAACCAGTTACCAGAGTTAAAAAGCATAACAGAGTTTGAAAACAAAAGATAAACCAGGAGTGAAAACAATGCTATGCTCAATCTCACCATAAAAGTAAAACAGAATATACATGATTGTCTCAAGATGCGAAGGTAGGCAATAAGAGTGTTGACATCTTTTACCTGAGAAACCATCCATTGTTGAGGCCAGCTTCTGTACATGATGCTACAGTGAAAAGCTCTCTGAGGGTTTCTGAATGGATTGAACAGAGCCAGACTTTGAAAACAAAGTCAAATGTCCTGCATTCCCAGACACACAAAGGATTTAGACAAGAAGAGTTTACTCTTCAATTTCACATGTCTAGCTTCTTCCAGGACATGATATCTTGCCTTATTAATACATATGCCTGAAAATGGAATGGCGTGCATAAGTGATGAGATCAGTATAATAGGCATAAGGCAAGTAAGAAATATGAGCAAATCAAATTTGGCACATGTGAGGTTAAATTCCCATCCTTCTGGGAAGATCTTTGAAAATATACATAACCTACTTTTTCAATTAAATATCCATTTACTGCACACACTAAACAAGCCCTTTCACACCCAAACAATGCCATCCAAAATGAACTGACATTAGAAAGCAACACCTTGAAGAAAAGGACTTGCATAAACCTCAGCATTTAAGTGGCATGCAATGCATGAAAATGCAGCAATTTATGGTTACTCAACCCACCAACATCACAGGAGTGAAAATGATAACAGGTTTGAGCTGAGGACTCACTTTTGTTTTCACACAACCAATTGAAACCAAATGAGTTCAATTTCAGAGTGGCAAGAACTAAGTACCAACCCTCCTGGACTGTTT